ATGCGGACGTTCTTTGTTGCCAAGCTTCTTGGAAGACAGATTGGGAGTTGATCAAAATATCTGTTCCCAGGTTACCTTCTCTTTCCCTTATAAACCCATAGGAGGCTGGTCACATGTGACGTCTCGGGTACCCGGTTGCGAAGATGGCAGTTGAAGCTCGTGCGATTGTCTTCCAAAAGCGCCAGATTCCAGAACCTTTATAGTCCTGCGTCATCGTTCCGCAACCCCACAAAAAGTCTCAGAAGTGCGGGGCCCTTCACTTTTTTGCTGAGATTTGAAGGCACGAGCCACCAAAGCTCAGGTTCTTGCTGCTGACCGGCGCCGCAGCCCGGCCGATGCTGCACATCTTCCTGCCGCCCTGGAACGCCTCAGACGAGGTCTCCAGGCACCAGGACAACGGTGAGGTCTGGTATCCGGGGCCGCAGATGATGTCCTACGGCATGGACCCAGCGACGGCGGTGCACAGCATGTTGGAAGGTTGGGGGATGCGGGGTGTTCTCTTCCGATGATGTGCGTCATGGATTTTCAGACCAATGAATCTGAATCTAGAAGTGTCCGTTTGCAGCCAGGCGTGGACATGGTGTCGGTCAACGCCTCGGGCCACGAGCAAGTGGCTCTACGCTTAAACTTTACCAACGACGAACAGACGATGAAACATCGGAGGACCGTGATGAAGCAGACTGTCGAGCTTGGGCTAGCTGGTGAACGGTCCGAAAACCTGATCAGCAGCAGGGCATTCTTGCAGAAGCTGCTCAGCTTCCGCAGGGCCGGGTACCGCCCCATCCGCCAGCAGAAGAAGCAGACCCAGCTGATCCTTCCATTGAACAACCGAACGGAGGCGACTCCCCTGGCACAGTACATCTCCAAGCACTACGGCCGAGCGGTGAAGCCGCTCCTGCCGCCAACGCTTGGCTGGAGCAGTGTTGGTGGGAGCAAAGCGTTCGCCTTCTCCAGTGACAAACTCTACATGGTGGTTGGTGCCAGGATCGTGGAAGTGATGCTGGAAACAGTGCCACCCAGTGGCGGGTGCCCCGCGCATGCCAAGTACGGCAATGTGAACCGCTCGTGCCGGGAGGAGACCACGAAGGCTGGCGCAGACAGGGTGATTTTCGGAGGGAAAGTAGGCACCGCCCTTGACCAGCTCGGAGTGCCGGAGAATGTCCCCAGCATCGTCTTCCACCAAGACAAGTTGTACGTAGTTGAAGGGGTAGGAAGCGGCAGTGCTGCTACTCTGGATGAACGTATTGGGAACAACCGAATTTTGGTTCTGCTTCCTGGCCAGTCCAAGGCCGAAGTCTTCTTCGGCGGCAACGGCCGCGGCAGCCGCTTGAATCAAGTCAACGATCCCCGGGACATCGCCTTTTTCGAAGGCAAGGCATACATTTCTGACAGTGGGAACCATCGCATCCTGGAGGTCACCCCTGGCAAGTCCAAGGCCAAGTTGTTCTTTGGAGGGAAGGGGCCAGGCAGCCGTTTGGATCAACTAAACAATCCCGGTGTCATCATGTTCCTCAAAGGCAAGGCGTATGTTGTGGATTACAGTAACCATCGCATCCTGGAGGTCACTCCTGGCAAGTCCAAAGCCAAGTTGTTCTTTGGAGGGCAGGGCCCAGATAAATTACTCTACCCCAGAAGCATGGCCTTCTTTGAGGGCAAAGCGTATATTGGCACGTCCGAGGGGTTCATGGAAATCACTCCCGACAAGTCGAAGGCCAGGTTAGCCTTCAAATATCATCGCGCAGAAGACCAGATCTCCTTCTATCGGGGTAAGGCCTATGTTGTGCTTGGCCATTGGCCATTCCACCGTCACCACGCGGGGCTCGTGCAGCTGACCCCTGGCCCATGGACCGCAAAGTTCCTTCTGAGGAAGCACAGGGCGCTTCAAGAGCAACTTAACGGAGCACAACGGGTCAGGATCTGTGAGAGCCAGGTTTACGTCCTGGGGCAGAAAGACATCAAAAGGGTGATGCCGCGCCAGTCGAAGGCGGAGACTTTCTGGGAGGGCTCCGAACCTTTGGCCGACCTTGCATTCTACAAGAACAAGAGCTACGCTGTGCAAAGACAAGGGGGTCAGGTTTTGGAAATCACGCCTGGCGAGTCGAAGTCAAAGATCTTTTTTGCAGCAACGACCCCTTACAGCAACTTCAATGGCATCACCTTTTTCGAAGACAAGGCATACATTGTTGACGCGACATTCCATCGCATCTTGGAGGTCACTCCTGGCAAGTCTAAGGCCAAGACGTTCTTCGGAGGGAAGGGAATGGGCAGCCGCTTGGATCAACTTTACAATCCCACAAGCATGACCTGGTTCGAAGGCAAGGCCTACGTTGTTGACCAGTGGAACCGTCGCGTCCTCGAGGTCACCCCTGGCAAGTCATGGGCCAAGTTGTTCTTTGGAGGGAAGGGCCTGGGCGATGGCGTCCGTTTGGACCAACTCACCACTCCTGTGGACATCGCCTTCTTCAAGGGGGTGGCCTACATTGTTGACGGATGTAATACTTGGCCCCGCATCTTGCGGGTGACTCCCGGCGAGTCCTTTGCAGAGGTGTTTGCCCAGCGTTACCTTGACCACCCCGTGAGCATCGCTTTTCACAACGGCAACGCCTACGTCACGAGCCTCACCACGGTTACTGTGCTGTCCATGGCAGTTTTGGAGGAACCGTCCAACAGGACCGTCGATCTGGGTGGGGCGTTGGCCCGGTGTCAACGAGGAGCTTTGTTCTCTCGGGGTGACACCGACATCTTCCTGGCCAAGTGCCAGGTCGCGTCGGCAATGGTCGAGGTCGCGGCTTCCAAGCCAAGCATCACCCTGGAGGCCCCGACGCTCAGCCGCACTTCGCTCCTGTCCCCAAAACCATCCAAGCTGTCCCTGAACATCCCTGACCTTGAACCGCCCTGCATGTTCAGGAACTACGACGTCTCCATGGAGATCACGAACCGTGCCGCCCACTTGCCCGTGGTCGGCTTCACTAAGCTCACGCTGCCCTGGGCCGAGGTCCATGTACCAACGCGGAAGTTCAAGTTCGGTTTGTGCTTGGCCGCCCTGGCAGCTGCCAGCTTTGGAGCCCATGGGGTCGGTCGCCGCGCAGGTCACCTAAGCTTCCTGCTGCTGGCCTTCTGCGTGTTTTTGGCCGCGCTCCACTTCGAACTCTGCTTTCTTCCCATCCCCGACAGCTACCTGTGGTCTTCGTTGACCCTGGTGGGTGGCCTGTTCTTGCCCTGGGCCATGGTTCCTCTGCTGCTCTTCCTGTCTTTCGATTCTCTCACCAAGCACGCCTTCACCAGCGACGCCCCCTTGGCCGTGTCCTGCGCCCTCGGCACCGGGTGGGAATACCACCTCCTCACCGCCTTCCTCATGGCTGCGTCGACGTCCGTTTGGGCACTATGCTTGGGGGAAGATAGCACACCACCGCCGGCGCCGCCGCTTGGCATCAAGAGAGTCTTGCGGAGCTGAGTTGCGGATGGGACTGTAGCGACCTTTGAATCGGAGGAGTTCGTCCTGGCCGGCGCTTAGCATTGTGCTTTGTGCTATTGGGTTGTCCGGAAGGCAGGTACGGCAAGAGAAAGGCTAACACACATATCGATGCAGACAGATTCCTGAAAGTTAGGGGCAAAATTAAACTCAAGAAAAAACACCTGCGCCAGAGAGCCTTCGCTTTGAGCCTGTGCCCTGAAAGGTGAGACATGCGAATAATTGCGGAGTCCAATCTTATGATCAAGGGGCTTCAATATCCTGGGATCCTCTTTAGGCGAGGGTGTGGGGAGCGCTGCACCTGGCTCTGTCCAGCGATTACCCTTATTTATGCCAGGGAAATAGGGGAAACAACTACGCCCTTCGACTGGGTCCGAGATTTAGGGGCCAAGAATCTGTTGCGCCTTTGTTGTATTTTGTGCTTTCTTCCCGTGCTGAGTTCAGCAAACTTCCAACCAGGGACTCCTTGATTAGGTTTCGAAAGTTCCCACACATCAGTCGTGGGGTTTAGGGTTTAGGGCTTAGGGTTTAGGAAGAAATCAATTCCCCCTCCGCACCTCACCCTTATCAGCTGCCTTTCATCTTCACCACCGGTCGACCCCCTAAACCCCAAACCCTATACCCAAAGGAACTCGATGGATGAAAGTCATATGTTTTTGTAGATCTTGGTTTTGCCCTTTCCTCCCTTTTCAGGTTTGTTTCAAGCATGCCAAGTCTCACGAGCCAATTTCAGAAGCTGGAAGATATCGATGGTTCAAGGTACGCAGCTCCGTTTTGCAATCGCATTTTGCATTTTGCGGGCACAAGCCTGCGCCGGTTTGTTTGAAGGCATTCTGGCGCATGTCTTTTTTCTTGAGTTCAATATGCGCCTAACTTTGAGGAATCTGGCCGATGTGTGTTTTTGGTGTTTTGCTTCACAGCCGCAGGGTTTGTAACATTTTTGTCTCACGTCGCCTTTGCCGCCGGCCGGGGTGGCGTGAAATCGTTTGAACATGAATTGCAGATTTTAAATGTGAAGGCTTTTGGGCCCTGATTTGTCTCAGCTTGGAAGTGTCACTAAAACCGCATGTGATCACTTGCGCAACTGGTGCAACCAAGGTTGGCTACCATACCAAACTTCTGCTCTCTCCGAAAGCTCATGGAGAATCACTTTCCGTGGCTGGTGGAGAAGGTGGAGCATCCGAATGCTTCAGCGCGGCGACTCTTGCAACTGCTCAAGTGGGTCCAAACAAGCATGGGAGATCAGCATCTCGGACGGGCTTAAGTACTCGGTGTCAGGGGCATAGTTGACTTGCCAGTCATGATGCCTACTAGGCGCTTCGAAGCCACTGCCGAGTGTTGCTCTTTAATTTCCGTAGGGGGGCGACCCTAAACGCTAAACCCTAAACACAGAGGTACTTGGATCTCACCACCTGCCTCGTCTTCCAAGCTTGTGGCTACGACTACGCATGGCTTTCGTTGGTCTGCATCCTCTCAGCCCTCTGCTTGCAGAATCTAGGCCAGATGTGCTGGAAGAGTAGGGAGCCAAGAAAGTCATCCAGATGTTCAGCCCGAGTTTCAGGCTAGCTGCAAGAGGCGCACCTGCACACCGCATAGTGATCTCCCGACAGGTGGCGCGCTGTACATTCTTTGCTGCTCCCGTGGGCATGGACTGCCAGCTTCGCAGACCTGCGTGGCACGGCAGCACCGGACATCTGCGCGTTTAGCAATTTAGCTTCCGCAACTTGCCAAGGTCTACGCGTTGATCGCATTGGTGATGGCACCGCCTCTGAAGCAGTTGAATGAGAAGCTGACGCCTGCGGCGATGTACGTCACCATGGTGCGACTCATCTCCGAAGATCTGCCGCAACTGCTCATCCAGCTGCACTTCACCATCTTCGTCTACCAGAACCCCTTCGTGCTCTTCAACGTGATGTTGACCTTGCTGTTTGCGGCCATGGATGTCAAGGCTCTGTGCAGCTATTGCCAGCCCAAGAAGTTCGAACCGATCCCGCAGGTCGACAAGACGAGCACGCAGCATCACCAAATCGCTCTCATGCCTCTCGCCAAGGCCGAGGAAGCGAGTTCAGCTTAGCGCGACACAAGCCTTCCAAATCTTGCACCACAGGGCCTTTGCGCCCGGCTCCCCATGCAAACGGGTTTATATAGGTTTTAGGGTTTAGGGTTTAGGGTTTGGGTGTGATTTGAGGGGTCTTGGTCTGACCTACTGCGGAGCACCGCTGACTGTCAAGCATCGCAGAGCGATGTGGGCACGCGCCGATCGAGCATTTGAGCTTAGGGTTTAAGGTTTATGGTTTATGCTTGGTCTTGTGCGGATTCAAGGCACAATTGCACAATCTCCTGTCAATGAAGCGAATTCAGCTTAGCGCCTCAGACATGGGATCCTCGAACTTTGAGCGTCCACAGTCCCGAGGCTTTGACCAAAGCCGAGGCAGAGGTGGCACAAAGCTGTCAGACTGGATCGAAATGAAACAGGGTCTATATATCTGTTACTGGTGAGTGTTGTAAGGTTCCTGTTTTAAAATTGGTGAGTGTGTATGTTGGGTGTCCTTTTGGGGATACAAGAAAAACAAACTCTACATCACATGTTGATGTTTCACACAGAGGCAAGCTCCCAATGCAAACCTGTGCCGTTTAAAAACCCCTAAACCCTAAACCCTAAATCCTAAACCCGATCGGCTGCGGAGCACCGCGGAGTGTCTTACATTGAGATCCCATCGCCGGGTTGAGTTTGACCAGAGTCCAAAAAAAAAGCCTTCTCAAGTGCTGCGACGCTGAGCAATCATTGACATGTGGGACACGTGAGCCTTTGCACGTGCCTTCTAGCTGGTTCTGGCCCAAGTATGGGAGAACATCAGCCATGGATTATATGGGTTGGTGGTCTCTTTAAGTAGGGTTTCTGTCTCAGAGGGGCATATATTCGGGTTTCTAGGGGCTGTATTAACGGCAGAAGGGCAACAGATAAAGAGGCCACCGGCCTTTATAAGTCATGGAGGGTTCCAACCAGCGGCTGGTCGATGGGTGGAAGGACGTATCGGCTGTGCACTTTATGCGAACGCATGGAATAAAGCTGCCATGTGGTGCATGGTCAACTTCTGTGGTCAACTTCTGTATTCGCGAAAAACTTACTATCTTCACCACAACCCCTTGTCTCGCAGAACATAAACCCTAAACCCTAAACCCTAAACCCGTGCTTTTCAAGACACAGCACTGGCTCCCAGACATGACCGGCACAAAACGCTACTTCCAGAACATGTCCGGGTCCATGCGCTCTTTGGGATCACTGACGTTTTTCGTCATCTCTTGGGTGTAGGGTTTAGGGTTTAGGGTTTAGGGTTTAGGGTTTAGGGTTTAGGGTTTAGGGTTTAGGGTTTAGGGTTTAGGGTTGCAAGGCCCTAACTTCCTGGTGTTTGAGCTCAGGAGTCAGGTTTAGGGTTTAGGGCTTAGGGCTTAGGGTTTAGGGTTTGGGGTTTAGGGTTTAGGGTTCAGGGCTTAAAGCTTCAAGGCCACCCTCTCAAGATAACTTCAGAAATATGTGGGTACTGGGCTAGCCCAAACTGTTCTTGGCTGTCAGCTTTGAGATTCGGTTAGGCAGGCAGGGTTTGGATGAATTTGGAGTGTTGCCGAAGGGCTTAGGGTCTGGGGTTTAGGGTTTAGGGTTTAGGGTTCAGAGTTACCGAGGGCTTCCGGGCTTGCAATCTGCGCATACTCCGTCCGCCGCAGCTCGTTTTGAGAACCCGACTGAGCCAGCAAACTTGGTGCCATATGCCTTCGGGAATCCTGGCCTCCTGCTGCGAGTCCCGGTGCCTGTCCAGCATGCGATATAGGGGTCAGAATCATTACAAGTGGTGTTCCCTGATGGCCATTTTGTGCTTATACCAGAATCCCCCCCCCAAAACCCTATTCTCAGTGTTCAGGCCCCTATAGTATGCATGTTTACTAGGACCCGGAGTAGGCCCCTTATTTCCTGTTGTTAGGGTTGGGATTGGGATTCCCCCCCTAGAACCAAAAAGGGCGCCCTTCTTATTCCTGGGTTTTCCTGGGTTATGTGCCGACCATCGGTGTTCAGCCCTACGCCCTGAACCCCACCGAAGCCCTATCGCCGAAGAGCCTAAACCTTGCTACTTGTCCCAGCACCGTAAAGACTAAAGCCTAAACCCTAATTACCCTACCCCTAAACTCTGCTGCTTTCCCGGACACGCTTACTTCTGAGAGCGAACTCCAAAACCTTAAACCCTTGGAGCTCGTGAACCCTAAACCCTAAACCCTAAACCCTAAACCCTAAACCCTAAACCCTAAACCCTAAACCCTAAACCCTAAACCTAAACCCTAAGCCCTAAACCCTAAACCCTAACCTACACCCTAAACGCTGTGTTGCTCGCAGCTTCTCCCTGCGGCGGGTCGTCCTGGCTGAGGCCGCGCGCGCTTTCCACCACTGAGGGCTTGGCTGCCATGGACGCAGTACCTGCACAGGAGCCGGGCTTAGGGTTTAGGGTTCAGGGTTTAGGGTTTAGGGTTTAGGGTTCAGCAGCTCTGGGTCGAGCAATCTCCAGTAGAGCCGCTGTTTGGACTCTAGAAAAAAGACACCCACCCAGAGAACCCCAAAACACTAGGAAAGATAAAGTTTACATTTTTCATCAGCAAGCCCTGTCCCCAAACCTTATTGTCTTCATTCTGCTCTTATTCGTTTTCTTTCTTCTCGTTTTCATTCTGCTCGTATGCGTTTCTTTCTGCTCGCATTCATTCTGCTTGTTTTTTTTGTCTTTCTGCTCGTCTTCGGTCTGCTCGTATTCATTCGCTTTCTGCTCGTATTCGTTCTCTTTCTGCTCGTATTCAGGCCGGGCAGTGGTGGGTGTTTTCCCCACCCCACCCTCGAACCACTCAAGATGAGAAAGACGAAGAGGGGAAGCCCTTGTCGGCCCCAGACCCAGGGTTTCGAGCCAGAATGGGGGGTATGGGCCACAAGAGGCCGGGAGGAGCGGGGGGGGGAGGGGGAAGAGGGGTGGGGAACGAGTGCTTAATGGGGTGTTGATTGCTTACTTTCTGGGTTTTTTGCGTCCTTGATGGGGTGCTGCTTGCTTACTTTCTGGATTTGTTTCGTGCTTGCCCCACATTCTGATTTGTGTTTTGCTTGATGGGGTGCTGATCTAAAGTTCGCCGGTGACTGCGCCTCTTTTTGGCCGTCTCGTTGGTTGTTTTGGCACGCTTTAACCTTCCTGGCTTCCACATGGTCGCTTTGGAATTAGTGCCCCGGTGACCGCGACTCATGTTTGAAAGTTCCCCGGTGACCGTGGCTCTTTTTGCTCCCACCCCGCGAAGCCCTCGTCTGGCCCAGGGGGGCAAAAAGCCGTGACCACTGGCAAAAAAGTCGTGGCCATTGGCATTTTTGCGGGACCCGTGGCCATTGGCAAAGTTGCCAATGGCCACGGTTTAACCCTAGACCCTAAACCCCCCCTAAACCCTGAACCCTAAACCCTAATGCCAAAGGCCACGTTTCCCATAAAGGTTGGGGGGTATTTTGTGCGAACTGGGTGCGAAAAACCTATTTTGACGACAAACCTAAATGAAATCGGTGGCCATTCACAAAAAAGCCGTAGCCATTGGCAACTTTCCCGTGGCCATTGGCAAATTTGCCAATGGCCGTGGCTTTTTTGCCAATGGCCACGGCTTCTTTGCCAATGGCCACGTTCCCCATTAAGGTTTAAATATTTATATGAAAGAGAGGGTTTAGGGTTGAGGGTTGAGGGTTGGGAGTTTAGGGAACCGTAAACCTTGAACTGCAAAACACACAACCCCTAACCCCTAACCACTAACCCCTAACCCCTAAACCCTTAACCCTAAACCCTAGACCCTAGACCCTAAACCCTAAACCCTAAACCCTAAACCCCAGCTCAGCTGGCCTCTTGGAGGAGCTTGAAGACCTCCGTCAGCCGCAGATGATGTGCTATCAATGCGAGCCACAGCTCGGTTGCGGGTTTGGGGTTTAGGGTTTAGGGTTCAGGGTTTAGGGTTTAGGGTTTCGGGTTTAGGGTTCAGGGTTTAGGGTTTAGGGTTGAGGGGCCATTTTGTGTTTCTAGGGCGGGTCTCGAGTAGAACCTATTCCTCGCAGTTTAGGTGTCAGGAAGGATCCATAAGCTACATCAACCTCCATTTTTTCGTTGAGGGCTTTAGGGCTCAGGGTTTTTTAGGGCTTAGGTTTCAGAGTTTTGGGCTTTGGGTTTCGTAGCCGTCACGAAGCCAGTCGCCATAGATGTCAAAACCGCCGCGCAATGTCATGTACAGTTTTTTAGGGGTTGAGGGTTTACTCTGGGAGTTCAGTGTGTTCATATTATCATGTATATATATATATGTACATACAGAATTTATGTACGTATTTATTTGTGTAATCATACTTATTTTATTTGTGTTTGTCTACGTAGACTGGCTGTATGGGTGTTATGCCAGAGTTTTCTGGGGCTTAGGGGGGGGCCCCAAGCTCCGACTGCCCCTAGGCCTTAAGCCCTGGCCTTTTGCTGCAATCCACTGTCATACGATCCCTATATCGAGGCTGTGGTTTAGGGTTTAGGGTTTAGGGTTTAGGGTTTAGGGTTTAGGGTTTAGGGTTTAGGGTTTAGGGTTTAGGGTAACCCTGCCTCAGCCCTGCCAAGGAGCAGACGAATGCAGGCAAGGGATGCACGACCACCGGGGTATGCAAGAAGTCACCCACCACCGCCGGGCTGCAAGACTTGTGCCTTGTCCTGATAAGGGGTTTGGGGTTTAGGGTTTAGGGGTTCAGGGTTCAGGGTTTAGGGTTTAGGGCTATGAGTAGCGATAGCGAATCAGTGGTTTGCTTTGCGAGTCCCGAGGATGCATGCACACCCCTCAGTCAACAGGATAAAGGGGTGAAAGTTCTGGCTAGACTTCGAGTCCAGTAGCGAAAAGGGTTTAGGGCTAGGGTTTAGGGTTTAGGGCTAAGGAATTTAGTCTTAGGGTTATGGGCGACGAGGATGTGAGGATTGAGGAAGACCGGACTGAGGGATGTTGGAAGAGGGGCGGACAACAGTGACGAATTGTGTCCCTGAGAAGTCCTGGATTGAGGGTTTAGGGTTTGGGGTTTAGGGTTTAGGGCTTAGGGTTTAGGGTTTAGGGTGATGTTCGCTTCAATGGTGTTTAGCTCTCGCCACTTTGGCTTCGCATCTGTGTACTGCTGTCATAATCCTTATTAAGGGGTGAACATCCCAAATGAGGGGTTTTGCTTGGTCCCGCATGTCGCTGCTCGAAAAGTCTCCCCATGCATTTGGTCTTGGACGATCAGCACCCGACGACCCAAGCCTCCGAGGGGGTTTAGCGGCGTTCAGTAGCATGGGGTTTGGGGAGGGGTAGTTTATCTAGGGTGAGGGGTCAGGATGATACTCCTACTTCTCCACGTCCTCCGCCCCACGCTCGCACATTCCCCGCACCCTTTAAACCCTAAACAGTGAACCCTAAACTCTAAACCCTAAACCCTAAACCACAAACCCTAAACCCTAAACCCTAAACACCCTAAACCCTAAACCCCCTCCCCCCTCCCTTCCCCCACAGCCAAGGCAAGTCCTTTACGCGCTGCGCCTGTGCCAGCTCGCTGCCGCTTTCGGCCCCGAGAACCCTTTTGAGGCTTGGGGTTCAGGGTTTAGGGTTGAGGGTTTAGGGTTTAGGGTTTAGGGTTTAGGGTGGTGGAGGGCATTTTTGGGGTTTAGGAATGAGCTTGAAGGGTTTAGGGTGTAAAGTAGGTTTAGGTTTTGTTGTTTCGTGTTTAAGGTTTCGGCTCGGGGGTTTAGGTTTAGGAATGAGGTTTCAGGCTTCAGGCTTCCCGTTTCAGTCGCTGCAATGACCTGTCATTGGGGGGCTTCGAAACACACCTCCTCGGTTCTTTGGCTGTTTGTTGTGTCACTGGAGTTCTTGGAGTTTGGGGTTTAGGGTTTAGGGTTTCGGGGTTTTGTTTTTAGAGTGTTAACCCACAACCCTAGACCTGGAAAGACTGTGGAACTTGAGAGCCTCAACCCTCAATTCCAAACCCTAAACTCCAAACCCTAAACCCTAAGCCCTAAGTCCCTAACCCTAAACCCTAAACCCTAAACCCTAGCTTGAGAAAGCAAGAAATACGGAGCCCTGAACTTAGGGTACCCAAACGGGCCGAACAAACATACAGAAAGCTTCCCACATTGAAGTCGCTGCGTGGGAAACTTCTCTCTCAGTGCGAAAGCAAGAGGCCGACTGTCGCAGACTTATCCTCGAGTCGATGTTCGCCACGCTTCCTGGCCTCCTCCAAAGGTTTCAGCTGGTTTGCTTGGAGGTTCATGAGCATCTTGCATGTAGGGTTGTAAGTAGGGGGGGCGAGGTAAAACCCTGAGGGCCTCAATCCTACTTGAAGGGTTCGTGAGTACTCGTAATAAAGCTTTCAGTAACGTAAGGCTGCAACCAAAGTTACCCCTACCTAGAGTCCAGCTTAGAAGTGCCCAATGAACCTCAAAGTCCACACTTGTGGCACGTACTTCGGTTTCGCGCTGTGATTCTCGGGTGGCGCGAACACTTTCTTCATGTAGCACCATGAGGTTCAGGATTCGGGCTCCATCCCTAAGAGGCTGACGAACGTGAACTTCGACAACGCGCGGTTTGAAGCCTACCTCCGGGAGTCTGCAGCCACGGAAGCTGGGTGGCAAGTTGTGGAGCTCCATCCTTGTTATGTTTGAATACTTTTCGCAGCAGCAGCAGCAGCAGCAGCAGCAGCAGCAGCAGCAGCAGCAACAGCAGCAGCAGCAGCAGCAGTAAGCTTGTAGCAGTAGGGGTTAGTGGTCGTTGTAGTGGTGGTAGGCGTTTCAGTAGTGGTGGCGATGGTAGGCGTGGCAGTAGTGGTGGCGGTGGTAGGCGTGGCAGTAGTGGTGGCGGCGGTGGTGGTGGTGGTCGTCGTCGTCGTCGTGGTGGTGGTGGGTAGTAGTAGCAAGCTGTCAGGTGAGTAACTGGTACTTTCACTGAACAACTCTGGGACATGAGACTACGAAGGAGAGCGCTTTTACGATGTTCGGGGGTGCCTTACTGAAGTCTTAATACAAAGGGGATCCTACCATTTGGGGGTCTGTATTCGGGCCATTTAGGGGGTGCCTCAGAAGCGTAAACCCTCAGTTAGGGGTCGTTCAGAGCTTGAGGGGGCCAGTCATTTGCCCCTAGCCATCGTGGCTGCTTTGTCCATGCACACGTATGGGCATCTGGCCATTCTCAACCGAGTTCGAACTAGAACCCTGAGGTTCTCAGATGTTGCCATGTACCCAGGTAGAGAAGATGGAGAAGAAGCTTGCAGACCACCATGGGCCTTACCGCAAGGCCTCCGTAGAGGGGCTCTAAACCAAGCCCGCATGACCAGATGGCAAGGGACCCTGATCCCTAGAACCCTAAACCCTCAATCCTGATATCTTGTCATCTCCTGCAGTCTCACGCCTGTAGTAGTCTTGCAGCTCTTTTTCCATGATTGCCGCATCTACGCTGCGTACAAATCCGACACTGCGACGTAAGCCGGGCAAGCACCGTGAGTTCTTGCGGGCATCAGGGATATGGTTCTCGTATATACACATGGACATGCATGCACGCATACATACATATACATACGCGTTTGTGTACCTGGTTTGCTTGGTTTTGTTCCTTGATTGAAGGGTTTAAGCACTAGTGGTTCCTGCATTCTAGATCACTTTGGGGTTCAGTCTGTCGTTTGAAAGGGTTTAGGGCTCAGTTCAGTCTTTAGGGTTTAGGGGTGTGGTAAGTAAAACTTTCTGAGATGCGCCCGAAGCGCTTTTTGTGTTTCAAGGTTGGGCTGTGCAGCTCAGGGTTGGGTATACGGTATACCCCAAGCCCCTTCACACAGAAGCCGTTCGCCCTAACCCTGCACCATAAACCCTGAAGCTAAGACCCGATACCCTCCCTAAAGCCCTAAAACTCCAAACCCCAAGACGCTAAAGCCTAAATCCATAAACCCTAAACCCTAAACCCCAGCTCAGTTGGAGGGGTGCTCAAAAGATGTTTTTTCGAGCTGGCGCCCGTCCCGGGATCTGGGACCAATTGCGATTTCCTAGGGACCCTATTCTGGAGACCCCCCCCCTTCAGACCTGCCTGGAACCCCTGGCCCTGCACCTTATAGATGGACCTCGGGACCTTCCTGTGTGAACCCTGAACCCTAAACCCTAAACCCTACGTCTAAGTAATCCATGAACCTCGAAGCAAGGAGACCGGCAAGGCCGTACCGCCGGCGCCTGTCGGCCTGCCGTCCGCGTTGCCAGGGGACAGCAAGGCCCGGTGGATGTAGGGTTTAGGGTTTAGGGTTTAGGGTTCAGGGTTTAGGGTTTAGGGTTTAGGGGGTTTATGTCGGGCGTAAGGAACCCTCCTCAGGAGCTAGGGTGCCATCTAGGCTACCTAGCTACAGAAGTTTCTTTGCCGATCCGGCAAGACAACCCTAAACCTGGGCCCTCAAACTCGCCAGGCTCTATGTGGCATAGAGGACTAAAGGGCAATATGTTTGGGATAAGTTTGGGCTCTGATCTGAGGGTAGCTTCATGGGCCCTTAATATGGTCCCTAGCCTGCTTTTTAAGGGTTCTGATGCATGGGCCCATAGAATTTGTATAGAGTATATGAGGGGTATATAAGGGGTATCCTGTGAAGATCCCATACTCAGGGACCATGCAAGTTCCCTTAGATCTGACATGCTGAAAAGGGTGGAGAGGGTTTGGTCCCTGGATGCCAAAAAGAAGGCACTGCTGGTGGCAGCAGCACCTGCAGGGCTACTGGCACGTTCCGCAATCGTTGCCAACGAGGAGCACTTAAAGCCCTCAAGCCTCAGCCCGGAACCCTAAGCCCTAAACCCTAAGCCCTGAACTTTGTGAGGTCCATTGGAGTCTAGCGCAGCGTTCCCGCTTGTTTAAGGTTGAGGGCTTCTGGCGTTTTCAAAGGGCTTCTGTTTTTTCTTGTTTTCGGGGGTGACTGCCAGGGCATTTGGGGTGTTTTTGCTTCTTGGCAATCAGGGTTCAGGGTCTTAAGTTTTAGGGTCCGAGTTGAGGGTTTCTGACCCGAAACCCCACAGAGCCCTTCCTTCTAGGGATTTCGTTTTATGAGTTTAGGGGCTTAACTACCTGTCAGTGGAAAGTGGGTGATGTGGAGGGTCCCTAAACCCTAAACCCTAAACCCTAAACCCTAAACCCTAAACCCTAAACCCTAAACCCTAAACCCTAAACCCTAAACCCTAAACCCTCTGCTGCCGGAAGGATTTGTTTGGCATCCTGGAGATGTGCTGCTATGGACTCAAAGGCCCCTGCCATGGGGAGGGGTTCCCAAAACCCTACAATCCCTAGAAACCCCACTTGGTCTAGGGTTTAGGGTTTAGGGTTTAGGGTTTAGGGTTTAGGGTTTAGGGTTTAGGGTTTAGGGTTTAGGGTTTAGGGTTTAGGGGCACTTGGAGGTTCAGGGTACTTATAACCCAGTTAGAAGTCTAGTTTTATGTCCCTTGAGTACCCGAATAGGGTTGTAAGTGGGTTCGAAGTACAGTCATCCCAGGGTTCCTAAGTACCATGAACCTTCAAGTACAAACCCTACAAAACCTTACAAACCCTGGAACTCCAAACCCTTGTCTTAGAGGCACTAGGGTTTAGGGTTTCGGGTTTCAGGGTTTAGGGTAACTTGGTAGTCTAGTGGTACCCTATGCCCTTTTTTGTGGTTCAAGGTTCCCTTATAAAGTAGCCACCAAGTTTTTCCCTTGTTCCAATAGGTTAGTGACATTCGCCACACTACTTCGAAATTCAGACAGGCCGGCGGGATGTGCTCAGGAAGGGCGTGGTTCGGGCTTTGAGAAACGATGCCTTCGACCTGGAACAGAAATCTGCTTGGCCAAGGGCGGGGGGGATTGGATCGGGGGAGGCAGTTCTTAGCCGAAACCCTAAACCCTAAAACCCTAAACCCTAAACCGAAGCGCTGCAGGGGTCATGGCGTACTTCTACCATGCAGAGCATCTCAAGGCACAGGGGATTGGGTTTAGGGTTTTGGGTTTAGGGTTTAGGGCTTGGGGTTTAGGATTTAGGGTTTAGGGTTTCGGGTTTAGGGCTTCGGGTTGTAGGGTTTAGGGTTCAGGGATTAGGGTTTAGGTAGGGTTATAAGGTTTAGGGTCAAACGTTCTGGGTCTTTAGAGTCCTGAAGGCCTGAAACTGTTCCCCAAGCCTTGAGGTCACTTGCCAGACTTACTTTTGGAAGTTAGGCTCAGAATAATCGATTTCAAGGTTCGGGGGCCATACTGTTTTGGGTATTAAAGTTTTTTGTTTGGGGCTTCAGTCCTGGAGATCAGATGTCCGCCTGTCATGCCGAGACGCTAAACTCTAAATACTCAAATCTTGAACCCTAGACTCTAAACCCTCAGCCCTCAAGTCTAGAATTGAGGCATTACCAACACAAATTGACTGATTGTTAACGTTTTACTAGTGCTTTTGTTTAGTTTTACATCTTAAATTTAGTACTCACCTCATAAGACCCTCTGCACTGAACGCTTCACCCCCCAGGCAGACCCTGAAGACCCAACCTCAACCCGCTAATTGGGATTCTTCGGGCTCTACTGGAGAGCCTGGAAAAAGCTGCTACTTTAAGGGGGTTTGGGTTCGGGATGTAAAGGCTTTCGGGGATTTTTTTGTTTTTTTTGGGGGGGGGGGGGGTTCGACGGCCCTACTGAGATCTTGTCGCTCGGAATATGGCTGTGGATTCTTCAGGCCTGAAGAGACTCTCCCCCCCCTTTACGATGACACCCCATACCCAACCTATCTGCCCTTTTTAGCAGCCCCTGAGCCCCCAAACTAGTCTACTGGGATGAGGTGCGTTCACCCTTCGTGGCTGAGTCGATCCACAGGATTAGTTCCTTTAAAGTCGCAGTCTGCGCCTTTGGGTTGTCTAGGGTATATAGGGGGTATGTCAGGGTCCGAAATTGCTCCCATGCTGAGGGACCATGTAGCTACTGGCTGGTTCTTAGCAGGGAATGAGGTACCCTATATCCCCCTATGTATCCCCTTTAAGAGACTACATAGGGTACCTCATTCCCCCATTCCCTACCAAGAACCAGGGAACAACCAGCGGGCTTTGCAGCTTGAAGGGAGGAGGTCCCTGCTGCAACAAGGCTGGGGATGCGGCCTACGGCGAGGATGAGCGGAAGGAAGTCTACCAGGCTCGCAACTGTCTTCCCTAAACCCTAAACCCTAAACCCTAAACCCTAAACGGCACTAAACCCTAAACCCTAAACCCTAAACCCTAAACGGCACTAAACCCAAACCCTAAACCCTAAGCCCTAAACCCGAAGCCGAGTTTGCGCGTGACCCTTCCGAAGTGCTCTTGGGGCTTAGGCCTGGAGAGCTTCTAGGGATCCTGGTGCGTTAGGGTTTAGGGTTTACGGCTTGAGGTCTCGGGTTTCGGATTTAGGGATATTGCCCTTGTAAAGGAAGCAGTCCTAAACCCTAGAGGCTGCATTTTTCAGCGGGGTCTGCGTTTTTTCTTCGACTGGGTTTCCGGAGATCTGGCGCAGGAATTTGTGCAGAGATCCGGGCCCCTCCCTGAAAGCCTTCAAACACAGCCCCAAGCCTTTCAACCCCTGAACCTTTCAACCCTGAACCCTAAACCCCAAACCCTAAACCCTAAGCCCTAAGCCCTGAACCCTAAACCCCAAACCCTAAACCCTAAGCCCTAAACCCTAAACCCACAGCGACGCCCCTGAAGTCGCCCAGGAGATCTACCGCGTCGGGGCCTACCTTGCGGAAGCTGGGAGCTCCAAGGCCTTCTCGGGTTTGGGTTTGTTGAAAGGTTTTTGGTTAGGGTTTAGGGTTTAGGGTTTAGGGTTTAGGGTTTAGGGTTTGCAGTGTAAAGTTGACAGGGTCTTTAGGGTTTAGGGTTTAGGGCACTTGGAGGTTCATGGGTACTTGTAGTTAGGGTTATAAGCAGGGCAACTATGTTTATAACCTTATTTAGGGTACTTATAACCCCGCTTAAAAGTACTCATGAACCTTCAAGTATACCCTTCCCAGCTGGTTCAGGACTCTAGTTCCCAGAGACCTTAGCAGCATTTGGGCAAGTGCAGAGTATGTACAGGTGAACTTAGTAACCCACATATACCTGTCCTGATAACCCAGCTATAACCCTATTGGGGTACTTAAGGGGCTTAGAGGTGCCCCAAAATTCTACCACCTGCGAAAAAAATCGACATGCAGGCCGCGCCGGATGCGATGAACACTGCCCTTGGCGAGGCAAGCTCCAGAGGGGTTCAGGGTTTAGGGTGTTTAGGGTTGTTAGGGTTTACGGTTTAAGGTTGTTAGTTGTTAGGGTTTAGGGTTCAGCGTTTAGGATTCAGGGGTTTAGGGCCCTTGTCCCTTTCTTGGTTTCTGGTTCGAGTAAAGGGATGAAGGGACCTCCTTTCAAGGAAGTCATCCAGGTCCTGGATCCTCTTGAAAGTTCTTTGTTTGCAAGTTACTCGGTTTCGCTTAGACGGCTTGCCACTGTTTGGGGTCCATGCACGCGTTGTTACGCTCTGGTCTTGTGGTTTGTCTCTTGTTTGTCTCTCCCTATCTCTGTTTCTTTCTTTCTTTCTTTCTCGCTCGCCCGGTGCCATGACTGCCTACATGTAGAACAGAGCTGAGGGAGAGAAAAGGAGAGAGGGAGAGGGAGCGGGGCTGGAAGGAAAAACCACCAAGAAACATTTGCTTGTCAGACCCTAAACCCTAAACCCTAAACCCCTCGGAGCGAGCAGCCCTCTCATGCGTGGCCCGCTTGTCACTAGGCACTGGCTCTCGGCGCCTTGAGGCACAGCTGCATCTGGCCGATTCGGGTGAGTGCCCGTGGTTTAAAGGCTTGTGGAGGGTTTAGGGTTTAGGGTTTATCCCAAAAAAAACCCAAACCAAACACTAAACGGGTCTCAGTTGAAGGGTTCGGGTCTTCAGGGACGTTTTTTGGGCTGAGGGATTTCCGGCACAAGCCAGAGACTCAAGAGCAAAACCTGGGCCTGGGAGGGGGGAGACTTGAAGGGTTTAGGGTTTGAGGTTTAGGGTTCAGGGTGCTCACCAACTCCACGCCTGAATCACACATCATAAATGTAGTAAAACTATAAATGATTTAGCATGAATCATAGTATATTTCAAAGATGAATTGATGTTTGACAGTGCATTTCCTCCATTAATATTCGATACAATCAAAGACAAATGGATATAAAACAAAGAACATTATACAAAAGTGGGAATAAGGCAATTGTTATTCTTAAAATAATGTTATTCTGATGTTGGCATATGTATGTTACATTTCAATCACAGCAATGCAGCTCCGTGCTGCGGTGGTTGAGGCAAGCGTGTAGCGGCAGGGGTGGGTCTACTACCAATCCAGGTAGGCCCTTGGGACATGTTACATTTTCCCTTATATTGGGCTGAAGAGGGTCATATATTCAGGAATATTGTTCAGAGGGTTTTAAGGGCTATCCTAGAAATTGCTTAAGAACACACCCCCCCCCCCCCCCCCCCGGCCAAAGAAATCAAGAGACTCTTGCTTACACGGGCAAATATAGGGCGTTTTTTGAAGGGGCTCTTAAGCAAATAATCGTTTAGGGTTTGTGGTTCGGAGCTTGGGGACTAGGTGCACTTCAAAAGGGGTTATGGTCCAGGTGCTTTGAGACCCGAACATCCCAGTTCCCTACCCTAAACCCTAAACCCTAAACCCTAAACCCCAGACCTCATAGATTCCCAGGAACTTGAAAGTGATGAAGCTCTTGGATGCTGGCCACAATGTCGTGCTGGGCACACCCGAGCCGACTACGGTGAAGCAGGACCGACACACTAAACCCTAAACCCTTAACCCTAAATAAACCCTACATGTTTCGGGTTTAGGGCCTTAGGGCTCTTTAGGAGAGTTAGGGTTTTAGAAGGTGCAGGGTTTAGGGTGTTAGGGTGTTAGGGTTTCAGGGCTCAGGGTTTAGGGTTCAGCTTTCATGCTACTGTGTGCAGGCAGGAGCAGGTCTTGAGAGTAGGTGCGGCAGCCTTGGCACAAAGTGCTTTCAAGACCTGAAAGACTCTGAGTCGTCACCTTTCGGATTCTTTGGGGCATGTTTTTTGGGGTTTAGGTTTTAGGTTTTAGGTTTTCGGGTTTAGGGTTTAGGGACCCCAAGCCCCCCGAAGCCCAAAGGCCCCAAAAAAACCCAAACCCCAAAACCCCAAAACCCCAAAGCTCCAAAACCCCAACTCCCCCCCTCCCACCCCCGACTCTAGGGGGTGAATAGGGTTTGGGGTTTATTTTCGTATAAGTATAAAAAGACGCTAAGGGAATAATGTTAGTATTTCTTAAGGCCCCTACCAGTATCCCCTTTGGGGGTTATTGTAGTGTAATTCTACAGGGACACGAAAGGAATTAGACCCTAAACCCTAAGCCCTAAACCCTAAACCCTAAACCCTAAACCCTAAACCCTAAACCCTAAACCCTAAACCCAACAGTAATATCAGTAACTATTAAGGCCCCCCCTTTTGGACGCAGGAGCCGCCCGAGGGACCTGCCATCCTGGTCAGCGGCCACGACTTGGCGATCTTAAGGCTACTTGGAGGTTCATGGTGGGGTTTAGGGTTTAGGGTTTAGGGTTTAGGGTTTAGGGTTTAGGGTTTAGGGTTTAGGGTTTAGGGTTTAGGGTTTAGGCTTTAGGCTTTAGGGTTTAGGGTTTAGGGTTTAGGGTTTAGGGTTTAGGGTTTAGGCTTGGGTTCTGTTTTTTGGGGTTCGGGGTTGAAAAAAGCGTGCAGAGCTCAGTATCGGGTTTGGAGGGTCTGTTGGGGTTTTGGGGTTATAGTTTGGGGGTTCAGTGTTCGGGGTTCGTATAAGGGCTTAGGGTTATGGGTTGAGGGTGCTGGGTTTGGGGTTCAGGGTGTAGGGCTTTTAGGGTTCGGGGCTCAGGTTTCAGGGTCTGGAGTTTAGGTTACCTTGTACCAGGGCCCTCTGTCCTAGATGCTGTGTGACCGAGGAAGCTGCTAGATCAGTGCAAGGGCCGGGGCGTCAACGTCTACACGCATGGCGAGTCCCTTGGTCTGCGCTTTCATCAGGATTTGGACCCTCAGCCCTAACCCTAAAGCTTATACTGCAAGCCTCAGCCCAAGCCCTTGAAGCTATCCCTTGGTAAGGGTACCCAACTTCTTTTTTGTGTGCCCACGGAACCCGCCCAGCCGCCCAAAAAACCAACAAGAAAGCACGAATAATGCCCATGCAAATATTAACGGTAAAGTCGAAAGGAACGTTGCAGCGAGAGTGATTGTAGTGAGGGTGATAATGCTGGCGCTCAGGATCAGGACAGCGACAGCGATCATGATATGCCATTCTAGAATGATATGATGAGATGGTGGTATGGTGGTATGATGGTATCATGATATGATGATGATACTCATAGTAAAGCGGGTAGGGGACAAGCCTTGAAACCTTACAGCCTTGAAACCTTTCATCCATGGGGACGAAACAGCTGCTACTCGAATGAATTGCCCTTCCTGCGGATTAGGAGGAACCTAAACCCATTACTTTTTTTCCGTTGTTTTGGGGCAAGGGCGGGGGGGCGGGGAGGGGGGGAGGGTGGGACGGAAAGGGCGACGGGTGGGACAGGGAGGGGGGGCCGCCATTTCAAGCAAAGCCAGAAGTCAGCTTGGTCTCGCTCTTGGCCTGCAGGATGCTTCCAGCGCATTCCTACCCTCAACTGAAGAGTCGAGGATGCAGAGAGAAGGTTTAGGGTTTAAGGTCTAAGCTTTAGGGGTTTAAGGTTTAGGGATTAAGGTCTAGGGTTGAGGGTTTCAGGGCCAGGGCTCTTGTTCACTTGGTAGGCCTGCTGGTTTCCGTTTGGCCGTCGTTTTTGTTGTGGTTCTAGGTTCTGGTGCAAAGTACCCCCCCCCCTCCACAAAGCCCTTACAATCATAATTACCATAGTCTGGGTCAGCAAGTGCAGGGTAGTTGTGGCAGGGTTTGGGGATTCATTAGGGCTTTCAAGGTTAGGATTGTCAAACAGGTGCCAGACAAAATAAGCATTCCCTGTGATGCCCCTTTCATCCCTGCTTACAGTCTGTTGTACTTCCTACTAGCCCTACGAAAGCTCATCCTTTGTCCTTATGTATTTGAAGGTTCATGGGTACTTATAAGAAGGGGAAAATCAGTACCCCAAATAAAGTCATCACCATCGTTAATTTCGCTACAACCCCTACTCTTATGTACCCTGCTGAACCTCCAAGTAGGTTACCGAGCAGCCCCAGCTTCAGATTCCTTGCACCCTAAACCCGAAACCCTTAACCCTCAAAAGTCTGGCAGCACCGAGCTCCGGACCTCTAAAGCCTTCCCAGCTTCCTTGCCTTGGGATGTTCCCCCGTATACTAACAGTCCTGAAAAGGAATAATAGCACGGGGTACTGGAATGCCTCTGAAGGACTCTGAGTAGAAGGGGGAACATCCCAAACATAGCCTTAAAACGGTAAACCCGAAGAAGACCGGGGCGAGTCCTCCCAGCCCTCAGCCCTCAGCCCCCTTTCAGCATTCCAGCCGGAAGCCCAACCAAGAAACCCTCAAAACCCCTCATTTAGCACCCTAAACCCTAAACCCTAAACCCTCGCTATCTAATGATGTTTAAATGTTAATTCAAAAGTGGTCAACGGTGATTTTCGGCCTCAAAAGTGGGCAACGGTGACTTTTTTGGCCTCAAAAGTGGGCAACGGCGGTGACTTTCCTGGCCTCAAAAGTGGGCAACTGTGATTTTCCTGGCCTCAAAAGTGGGCAACGGTGATTTTTCCGGCCTCAAAAGTGGGCAACGGTGATTTTCCGGCCTCAAATTTTCCAACGGTGATTTTTCAGGCCTCAAAAGTGGGCAACGGTGATTTTCCGGCCTCAAAAGTGTGCAACGGTGATTTTCGGCCTCAAAAGTGGGCAACGGTGATTTTCCTGACCTCAAAAGTGGGCCAAAGTGGGTGATTTTCCTGACCCCCCCCACCCCCCCCCCCCCACCCCCCCCCCCCTTGACAAGCTGCTTGACTAGTGAATGCTTGGACCAGAGATGCTGAACCCTAAACCCTAAACCCTAAACCCTAAACCCTAAACCCTAAACCCTAAACCCTAAACCCTAAACCCTAAACCCTAAACCCTAAACCCTAAACCCTAAACCCTAAACCCTAAACCCTAAACCCCCTAAACCCTAAACCCTAAACCCATAAACCCTAACCCAATTCAGTTGGCCTCGTCAGGCCCGAGAGCCCGATGTTGAGCCCTGAAGTCCCAAGAAGGATGTAGTCGAGAGAGTCTTGCCCGGGCAGGCGTCGGGTGTAGGGTTTAGGGTTTAGGGTTTTTAGGGTTAGGGTTTAGGGTTTAGGGTAGGGTTAGGGTTTAGGGTTTAGGGTGCCCCCCCCCCCCCCCCCCCGAAGAGTAGGAGGTGAAGTATGCCCTGATTGTCCCAGGAAGTACGCGGAATTGAAAGGCCACTTCGGCACCCACTGGGGCAACCAGCAGAAGGACTGCCCCGACCGGGATGGGGTTTAGGGTTTCGGGTTTAGGGTTTAGGGTTTCTTGGTTTCTTGCTCGCAGTGGTGCAGGGGTTGAGGGTGTTGTTTTGGGTGTATGAACGTTGGGTTCTGAGCTTTTGTGGCTCGAGGGGTCTAGATTCGTTGAGGCTTGACCCTAAACCCTGAACCCTACACCCTTACATCGAGAGGGTCTAGAGGCGGGCAGCTGGAGGTTTTGAGATTGAGAATCTAAGGGTAGTTTCATGGTGCCTTGATATGAACCCTGAATATACCCCCTATATACTCTATACAAGCCAGGGGGCCAACATCAAAACTCTTAAAGAGGGTCAGGAACCATATTATGGGCCTCTACCTTTAGAGAGAATGGAAGACAAGGCCGAGGCTCTTGGGCTTCTTGAGAACCTTGGGGCTTTGGGCATCGGAGGTTTGATTTGAGACGAGGCCGTGGGACTTGTAGGGTCCAAAAGCAGCGAGAGAGCGAGCGCGCGAGAGAGCGAGAGTGAGGGCGAAAGTGAGACTCAGAGCGAGAGCGAGAGAGCGAGAGTGGGAGCGAGAGTGAGAGTGAGAGCGAGAGCAGACAGAGCGAGAGCGAGAGCGAGAGAGAGCGAATAGGAAGAAAAAGGCAGGGGAGGAGAGGGAGAGAGAGAGAGAGCCACCTACGTCCAAACGACAGAAAGGCAACGAAAGAAAGGAACAAAGAAAGACAGAGAGCCCCTGAGGAGAAGAAGAAGAACACACGGACAGCCGAGTTAGGTTGCGGTCAGCAACTTGCGCATTCTGCCCGTAGTCACTCAAGCACTTTATGGCACAGCAAGAGGTCGTTGGATGGCTGCAGAAACCTGGAGCCCCTTGACCCCCTTGGTGCCTTGAAGGAGTTTCGCTACTTCCCCGGATCCATCCTGATGACATCGAACTGCCTGATGCCGCCCATGGGCACCCTGTCGCGCAGCTCCTGGTTTGTTTGACAACCTCTTCAAGGATTTGCTGGCCGTGGTGGGGTTGAGGGTTTAGGTTTAGGGTTCAGGGCTGAGGGTTGAGGGTTTAGGGTTTAGGGGGTCGTGGTGTGATTCCGGCTGTGATAACGCATCCCTCGAGCTCATTCATCGCTTGGTGCACCTCCAACCTCAATAAACCCCGCTACGCTCTAGACCCTTACAGCCTAAACCCTAAACCCTAAACCACACTCATAGGAAGCACCGTTTTTCCGGGAACCCCCCTTCTGTTGCAGGGTTAGATTCCTCAGAAAAACAATTCATGAAGCAATACAGGTTTAGGGTTTAGGGTTTAGGTTTAGGGCGCTACACGGGAAAGGTTTACTTGGAGGTTCGCAGGGGGGCGTATAAGAAGGATACTTATGATTTATACCCTTTTATTGAGGGTACGTACTTGTAACCCTGCTTATAAGTACTCACAGTAGGTTTTTCTGTGCTAGGAAGCACGGGCTTAGGGCTTAGGGTGTTTCGGGTTTCGGGTTTGTCCTTGTACCTTCAGCGGGTACCCAAGCCCCGCCCCCAGGGCAAGATCTTCCTTGCACCTTTTTGCTTCAACACTTGTTTTCCTAGGTCACCGGCGAACCTTTGCCTAAGCTAGACCCTAAGTTCGAAATCTGAGAACCCCAACCCTAAAACCTAAATACCAAACCCTCTAGCCCTAAACCTAAGCCCTAAATCCTAATCCCTGAAATCTAGCCCACAGGCAAGTACAGGGACCGAATTTGGACCACCGGTCCTGTGGGTTTCGATGCCGTTCCCAACATGGTCAGCGACGACTTCTCGGAAGCTTGGGCGGCCTTTCAGGTTTCAATTGGGATTGCGGGGGGTGGGGGGGGGGTGGGGGGGTGGGGGGATTTAGGGTTTTGAGTTGAGGGTTGAGGGTAGGGTTGAGGCATTCAGGGGCTAAGAGATTGCAGCAGAGTGCTAGGTTTAAGGGTTTCTCAGGTCTTGCTTCGGAGAACGGACACGACTTATAGCCCTTCTAGTTTGAATGCCAAGAACCAAACCGGAAGAAACCCCAAAGCCGGGCGGCGGGGGATGGGCTGCTGTGAAGTTCGGAGACCAGGCGCTCATCGAACAAGCCGTGAAGCAGTCGCCGGAGATCAAGGTGCTGCGGGTTTCTGGGGTTCAGGACGTCTTTTGGCATGTGGGAGGCTGTAGCCTTGCAGGATAGTGTCGCACGGCTGGAAGAGCCTCGCCCTCAATCCTCCATGACTCAACTCATGTGGGGTTGTTGCACTACATTGTGTGCCCTTTCGCGGTCGCTATTCTGGGCTGATCCTCGTGGTTTAGGGCACCAGGAAAGGTTCACAATTTAGCTAAATGATGAGCGCACCCAGTCAGGATGTGCGGCTGCACCAGATACGCCACTAACTTTTGTGGCAGACACTCCCATGGCTTTGTGAACAGTGTTTAGGGTTTGGGGTTTAGGGTTTACGGTTCCTAAGTTACACCTAGAACCTTAAAGGTACCACGCTCTGGCGCCTTGCCGAACCGTGAGCTGCAGGCCCGGCCAGGGGGAGTCCAAGATTCATTTGTTTTTGGATGGTTGGGTTTAGGGTTGAGGGTTTCGGGTTTAGGGCTTAGGGTGAGTCCTTGGAGTATCCGGATCATCTGAACTCTGTGGTTCGCCTTGCCTTCGAGCAGTTCTAGACCAGACATGGCCTGAATGCAAGTGTGTCGGCCTCTCTGTGGTGCTTTACTGTAACTTTAGACCCTTAGCCTTTTTGGGTTTATTGGGTTTCTTAACAAGGCAGCTAAAAATTATGTTTATAGCTACCCTGCTAAGTGCAGCCAAGGTTTTGTCAGATGTTGCTTAAGAAGCCACTCGCTGCGGTGACACATCTTGGTACCCCGGTGGTACCCTTTTCACTTTTTGGGTTCAAGGTTCCCTTATAACGTAACCACCCCCAAAAAAGGGGTGCGCCTAAAAAATGTGGTAACCGGGCTACCAAGACATAGCCAGGAGTCGACCTATCGCTTTGCGTAGAGAGCCGCGCTTGTGGTGAAGGGGAGGAAGCCTCAGTAGTCCTCTCAGTGCCCCAGGGTTTGGGGTTTTGGGCTTAGGGTTTAGGGTTTGGGCAAGACGTTCTCCGAAGTCGTTGTGGGGCACGTGCTTGGTCACAGGAGTGCCGGTTAGATGAGATGTTTGGCCCCCAAACACCAAAACCCCAAACCCGAAGTCTCTCGTCCATCCTCCCAAGAGCCTTCCAGATTGGCTTTGGGCACGCTGCAGTTTTGAGCTCTCTGGATGCACGGTGATAGCATGTCCGGGGTATGCAGGTTTAGTTGTTTGGGGGGGGTTTCTAGGTTTCAGGGTCCGTAGGGTTTAGGGGCTTACGTAAGGGTGTTGGAATCGAAATCAGTGGTTAGTTTGGGGTGCCAAGAAGGTCCCAAAGAAGGTCCCAGACTTTGTCTCAGTCCCATTTTAGAGAAGGGTGTCTGGGTATTTAGGTGGTTTGGGGACGGCAGAGCGTGGGGTCAAAGTGGGCTTTGTAAAAGTCTCGTTCTGTACTATTTTGCCCTGAACCCAAAACCCAATCCCTGCACCCTAAACCCTAAACCCCAAACCCTAACTATCAATGGGTTTGTTGGGGTTGAGGGCCTAGGGTAGCTTAGAGTTTACGGTGTCCGTTTCTAGTTTAGGGTTTCCGTTTCTCGTGGGGTCTCTGGAAAGCCTCGCCTGCTTATGGCCTTAACGCCTAACCCTAGAAGCGAAAAATCTAGCCCTAGGCCCTAACCTCAACGTCAGCGGTCCCTTTTGGGTACGCGAAATGACCATAATGACCAGAACAGGTACTCACCACAAGCCCTATGTAGAACAATCCCCATCTGCACCCAGTACCTCAGGGCTCGTCATGCCACAGCAGTTTTACCGAACGTCTCCAAATAGCCAAAAGTTTAGGGTTTAGGGGTTGGAGCCGTAGTATTCAACGACCTAAGTTCCCTAAACCCAAACCCCTAATCCAGAAACCGCATTATCCTTCTATATCCCTAAACCTAATCCCTGAGCCCTAAACCCTAAACCCTAAACCCTAAACCCTAAACCGTATTCTCAGAGGAAGCTCCGCCAGATGTGCCCAGGTGTGGCGGACAAGGTGGTCGCGGCCATCAAAGGCTCGTGGGACCCCTGGGCCCTAGCCCTAAACCCTAAACCCAAAGTCCCTAAACCCTAAATCCTAAACCCTAAACCATAGAGTCACGTCGAGGTTGCCATTTTCTCGGCGCAGGTTCTCATGGAGTCTGGGCCGGCAACGGCCACATGACGGCTTCCCGCCCCAAATCCGAAACTCCATCTAATCCCCCCTGCCCGAATATTAAACCCCCAGTACCCCTAATTTTTGAATACACCACCATATACTCCAATGTAGCTGTAGTAGGAGTATTTAATATTAGGAGGTAAGGGGGGGGGGGTTCAATATTGGGGAGAGGGCATTATCCAGAACACCGGACCTCAGGCGGACAGCTGAAGCACGTCTTCATCATCGGAGGCCAGGACGGTGCACATCCCCAAAAGCAGAACAGAACAAAGTCCTTGGACGGATGCCCCAAACCCCCCCAAGATCCCCACAAGCCTCTGTAAAATCCCGAAATGCGATCACCGTACCCCATAACCTTCAACTGCAATCCCAGAATCGCTAACCCGAAGCCCTAAACCCCAACCCTGAACCCCAAGCGCTAAATCCTGAACCCCTTAATCCGTTAAGCCCAGAATGAACACCTTAACCCTAAACCCTGAACCCTAAACCCTATAAAACCTAAAGCCCTTAACCCCTAAAACCTAAACGCGAGTTCTGCCAGGTTGTGACGGAACCGAAGGTTCCCGCAGCTACTTCACGGACCTGGCGCACGACACTCCCGACGCCTGGAGACGATGGTGGCCCTAAGGTTCTCGTAGTTTGAAATTAAGCAGGCGCCTGTATTATCCCCTACCCCAACCCCCCCCCCTGCCTACTTGGATTCTCCAAAATATGGTCCTTTTGGGGTTCTGCTTATAAGGCGAAACCTCTGATTTAGGCTACCCCAAAAGGGACCCTAACGCAGGGAAGTCACCGAACAACATTGAAACCATAGTTACCCTACTTGTAGCTCACAATTCAGTACCCTAAACCCCAAACTCTAAACTCTAACCCTAAACTCTAAAGCCCAAACCCTACTTATAATATAGATATGTATATATATATATATACATATATATATATATATACCCATGAACCTGCAAGTACCCAGGATGACTCGATCATCCTAACGCTGGGCTGCGGCAAGTTCCGCCTGAACTCCCATGACTATGGCGACATCGGAGGCATCCCCCGTATCTCGTCTGCAGGTTTCAGGGGTGGGCCCATAAACCCTAAACCCTAAACCCTAAACCCTACGGTGGCCTTGAAAACGATACGTTGACTGAACGCCGAGCTTCCCGCGCCCGAGGTTTGTTGGACCTCGGTCAGTGCAACGACGCCTACGGCGCAGTGGTCATTGCAACAAAGCTGGCCGAAGCGCTTGGGTGCTCCGGACCTGCAAGATTTGTTGATGTGTGGTTGAGAGAGTTTGAACCCTCAACCCTACGCCTCTGAACCCTGAAAAGTGCTTGATTGAGGATTCCGGAGTCGTCTGTGCCATATACATCGTGTGGGTACGCAGGTGTGCCTGAACGCATTTCGCTTGCGTGCAAGGATGTATCGCTGCTGGATGGATGCAAGAAATTTAAAGGCAACACACGTAGCAGTATAGATGAATAAATATGCGCGCGTTCGTGCTGTAGGGCAGGTGTGGTGAAGCGTGTTGTTTCAGGGGGAGCCCGACCACTGCTGCTGATTGGCCTTAGCCAAAAGACTGCTACAGGCGTCACCTCTCAGCAGCTTCAAAAACGGGCTCCTCTGAGAGGCGTCACCGCTTCAGCAGCTTCGAACTGTCTAAAGCCAGAAGCGAGTTGGGTAGTGAAACGTATTCATATACATACACATATACATATACATATGCATGTACATATACATATACATACACATACACATATACGTTATATATACATGTACATATAAGTACACATACAAATGTACATACACATATACATACTTATACATGTGCATAGCATTCTATTCATACATATACATATACATATACATATATACACACACATAAACCTATGCATACATACATGTACATGTGCACCCACATGTCTGACTGGCAGCTCGGGGTCTGGATGTCAAACTACTGTGCCGTGTTTTGCATGCGGCCGACCGAGTCAAGTTACGCCGGAGCATAGGAACCTTTGACTTCCGCACTCAAGGCACCCTAAACCCTAAACCCTAAACCCTAAACCCCAGACCCTGAAGCCCTGTTTACAAAGCTGATTTGCCCATTCACCGGAATCAGGTGCGGTGTGCACGACCTGCCACTGCACTTTGCAGTGTCCTGGTTTGAGCAGAAGGCCTGCGGAGGGAACCTGTCCCAGACCTGAAATGCTGCAAGGCTAGGGAAATATACTTACAAGGAGGGTTAGAAGGACCTGAAAACAAGGTTATAGTTGTAACCATAGTTCCCCTACTTATAAGGCATAGGTAGAGACCCAGCCGACCCAAAAGTTGCAGGACAATCCGTCATGGAGCCCCAATGCGAACACCCTCCGCCCCCCAACCTTGCAAACCCTACTCCAGGATTTAGGGTTTAGGGTGAGGGTGGTTTAATAGGGTACTTAGAAGTCCCCTCAGCAAGTTTATAACACGACCTGTCAGTGCCCGGGATGCTCCAAGTAATCCCCTAAACCCTAAACCCTATAGCCCAACCCTGTAGCCCTAAACCCTAAACCCTATAGCCCTAAACCCTAGATTTTACGAACTGAATCACTCTAGCTCGAAGAGGCTGTCGCAGTCCTGCTGACATTGCTCAACCTCGAGTTGCTCCCAAGCTGAGAGAGAGCTGGGGTTTAGGGTTCAGGGTTTCGGGTTTAGGGTTTAGGGTTAGAGTCTAGGGTTTGGGGTTTGAATTTTAAGGTTTCGGGTCTAGGGTTTAGGGTTTAGGGTTTAGGTTTCAGGGTTCAAAGTTTGGGGTACCTGTGTCTTCGGGACTACAGTTCAGGATTTGGGGTTCTGGGGCTCAGATTAGGCGGATAAAGGGCGCTTGCGAGGCCAATTGCCTGAACCCCGAATGAAACCCGTAAACCCCGAACCCCAAAACCCACTACGCCCGAATTAAGCCCAAAGCTCTAAACCCAAGGATGCACCGGTTTAGGGTTTTGGGCTTAGGGTTAAGTTAATCCTCACAAGAGTCTTGGGGTTTGGGTTGTAGTCCTTCATATGTGCGTCCCTCAATCCTAAACCTCTAGCACCCTCAACCCTGAAACCCTGAAGCCCCAAATCCCTACAAACCTCAACCCCAGAAACCCTACATGCCCGCAAACCCCAGAACCCTGGAACCAGATCAGCCCTATGTTCCCCAAAAACTGTCGCCCTAAAGCCTAAACCCCAATTTCCAAACCCTAACCCCAAACCCTAAACCCTAAACCCTAAACCCTAAACCCTAATCCTAAACCCTAAACCCTAAACCCCAAACCCTAAACTTTGAGGAAGAACATCCGGGTCGGCCCGAATCTGCCGGCATTCATCACACCTAAAGCTGGGAGCTGAGCAGAGGTCATCTTTCATTCTTGTTTAGGGTTTAGGGTTTAGGGTTTAGGGTTTAGGGTTTAGGGTTTTTCGGGTTTAGGGTTTAGGGTGTAGGGTTTAGGGTTTGTGTTTTTTGGGCCTTTAGGGTTTTTGTTGTTAGGGCTGTTAGGGTTTTTAGGGTTTTTAGGGCTTTTAGGGTTTTTAGGGTTTAGGGTTTTGGGGCTTCAGGGCTTTAGAGGTTACGGTTTAGGGTCCTTGTTGGTTATAATTATAATTTTACATGTTTGTCATATTGAACTCCCAATAAGGAATAAAAATGACATTTTTGAAAAATAGCCCGACAATGAAGCAGTTTAGGGTGCAGGGTTTAGGGTTTGTCTAGGGCCTTCAGGATTTAGAGCTTAAGGGTTTTGGGGTTTTAGGGTTCGGGATTTAGAGTTTCAGGGCTTTAGGGTTTTCGGGTTTAGGGTTTATCAGGTTCCCCCCTGGAAGCCGCTAGCGTTTTTGGGACGGCCCCTGAGGGCTCGAAGGCCCTAAGCCCTAAACCCCCTAAACCCCTAAACCCCCTAAACCCCTAAACCCACAAGGCAGGGGTTCAGGGGAACGGACTTCCAGGACCTGGAGCTTCTGAAGCCGAGGTAGACAATCCAGTTCGCGATGAGAGCTAAGGATAGTAGCCCGATGTAGCCCTAAACCCTAAACCCGAGCTCTAAACCCGAAAACGTGCCCCAACACAGATGCAAAAACGCCGGGCTCTACAGCGTACGTTTCTGAAACCTCAACCCTACACCCTAAACCCTATAAAACCCTAAGCCCTAAACCCTAAACCCACGTCTCAAGCGAAAGACAACACTCTTGGGGAAGGTCCTTGCCGTCCTCAACGAAAAGTTTGGCCTCAAGCAGGCGAACCTCCACGCCGAAGATGAGGACGCCGGGGCTTGTCCTAAACCCTCTAAACCCTAAACCCCAGAAACCCTTCTGTGAGAATCACCCCATTTTGCAATCCTTTGTACAGCACCGAGTCCGTGTGACCTCCTCTCTAGGACCTCTGGCTTTAGGACCCTAGTCTTGTTCCCCTCTAAGTAGGGTGAACCTTTGTCCTACTCAGACGTCTTGAGCTCACTTGAAGCAGGGAAATAGGCCCGCCAGAGCCAAAGTTAGTGGTCAATATCTTTGGTTATGGCACGCATTTGCAAAAAAATCAACACGGACTCCCTCGCGAAGAACGCCTTCAACTTTCTGGCATGGATGTGGTCCACGAGGGAGAAACGGTTTGGTGAGTGTGTATGGGCCTGCTTCAAATTGTAAGTGGTGAATGCACTACTTCACGTGGGCCTTGGAATGAATCATTCACAAAGTGCAGGGTTGAGGACCAAAATTCACAGGTAAGGTCTTTTGTAGTGCCAACCTAGGGTGGGCGGGTGTACTTGAAGTTTCATGGGTACTTATAAGCAGGGTTATCAGTACCCCAAACAAGGTTATAACCATAGCTAAGCCCTACTTATAACCCGACGAATATGTACCCGACACCCTAAACCCTAAACTTAAACCCTAAACCCTAACCCTAAACCCTAAACCCTAAACCCACGTGAATCTCCCAGTAGTTTGGCTTTCATGTTTGAGGGTTTAGGGGCGATCTCCGCGCTGTGACTCCGGAAGGTCCTGGAGTTCAGGGTTTAGGTTTTAGGGTTTAAGGTTTAGGGGTTTAGGGTTTAGGGTTTAGGGTTTAGGGTTTAGGGTTTAGGGTTTAGGGTTTGACGAAATCAGCGCGGACTTCTGTAGCTCTGGACCGAGCTTCTTGTCCCCTGCGCCCCATTGCTCAAGCCCCGAACGTCCCTCTCGGCCCTGGAATCTAAACCCAAAACTTTCCCAAAGCCCTCAACCCTTCAACTAAAGACCCCTTGGTAGCCCCAACCTTTCACTCTTCTTTGGTTCTGGGTTCCCTTCAAAAAAGTTACCCTAGACCCTGAGCCCGAAACCCTCAACCACCCCAAAAAGGGTGCCTTGTTACAATATGGCGACTATTGCTATAACCCTTATTTAGGGGTACTTATGTTTTACTTTTGCCCAAAACCCAAAACCCTCAACCCGAAAAAACCCTAAACCCAAAGAAGGATGCCTTATAACATTATGGTTCCTGGGCTACCAAGACCCAAGCCACGCCCTTGCGCCCAGCTCGCGGTGAAACCGAGGACCTGGCCGCGATGCTCGAGGGAAAGTGACTCAGCGTGGCAGGGCTAAACGCTAAACCCTACACCCTAAACCCTACACCCTAAACCCTGAACCCTGAACCCTGAACCCTGAACCCTGAACCCTGAACGCCGACGCCCTGCACGCTGGAGCCTCTATGAAGTTTTCTATATCGGAGGCATCCGGGAGATGTCATACAGCAGTATGCCTGCCAGGTTGGACTTAACTTTGTGGTGCTTTATACTCGAACTTCGGGTTTTAGGGTTTAGGGTTTAGGGTTGCTTTGTGGTGCTTTACTGTAACTTTAGATCCTTAGCCTTTTTGGGTTTTTGGTTTCCTAGTAAGGCAGCTAAAAATTGAATTAATGTCTACCCTCCTATGTGCGGCCAAGTTAATTTGACCCACGCGATTAACTCCTGAAGCCTGACATATCCACTGGACCGCGCTTTACCCTCAAACCTCCTGAGGCTGCACCCACGCAGCCCAAAAATTCCAAAATTTGCGTATACCTGAACCCAGTTTTTAAAACCCTCAACCCACAATTGGCGAATGATGTCCGCGGCTTAATGTTCGACCTCGGCGCGGCGTTCTCCGCAACTCCTGGTGGAATTCAAGATGCAAACTCCAGGCTTGCTCCGTGCCTCTTCATAAACCCTAAACCCTAAACCCTAAGCCCGAAACCCTAAACCCTAAACCCTCAACCCTAAACCCTCACCCAATAGGGATTGAGCTTGCAGGGCTTAGGGGAAGGGAGTCCATGAGCCAGAAACCTCGGAAGCCCGAAACCCTCCCAAATCCCAAAACCCCGCGATGCCTATGTAATCCTATGTAGGATAAGGGGGACCCTTAAACAGGGAAC